GGGAATCGCTCCCGCGGGGGACGGGCAGGCGGGCGGCGAGGAGCCCAGCGCTCCCCACGTCCCGGCCACCCCGTCCCCGGGCGGCCGCGGCCCTCCCGCTGCTCCGGCCTCTCGCAGCCGTGCGCAAAGAAACGCAGGTTGCTTTGACAGTGATTTCCCACTTTTTATTTCACGATCGGTATCGGAAAAAAAGAATTGGCATGTTACAACTTAGAGCAGATTGATACAAAGTGACAGCCCACGAACATCTGCAGAGCGGTATAAAAGGAAGCTATAGGGTTGTTACCGTTTCAAGAGAACTTCATCCTTCCTGAAGCCTGCTTTGATGCCAGCAACCAAACTTAGGCAATTTAAATATCTAGCGGCAATGTTTTTTAAGTAGGAATATTAGTTAAAACAGATTTCTTTACAAGCTCCATATCAGAATTCACAATACTGTTCAATGTTAAATAGCATCTCATTTGTGTTAATATCATCTTTGACACATTTAAAGCGCAAGTAACAAACTCAACTGCTTTGGCATTTGAAAAAAAAAAAGTTTTCATGGGAAAAACCATGTTACATGATGTTTACTAGGGTGACCATGGATCTGAAAGCATTCGCAACAGTTCTTTCAAATTCCCTGCTTTGCACCGGATACGTTTCCTTTGATAAAAACACTACTCAGAAACTGCACAATGAGGAGAAATCCAGGGAAACGGCGCCAGGCCTTTGCTCACAGCGGGGTGAGCGGAGCGCGCGGGAGCGAGCGGCTCTCCGTGGGATGGAGCACACGGAGCCGGAGTCCCAGCGCGGTGCCCCGGCATCTGCGCTGTGGGAAAAGCTCCGGAAAATCCCTCAATTGCCACTAACGCTAGGAAGGCTGCGGATGAAATCCTCGTGGTTACATGGCAACACTGGGAAAGAGCGGGAATCAGGGCACGGGCTGCAGAGATTTCTCCTAATTGCCGGGCCCAGGCACTGCCGGACGCGCTCTGCGGTGACCTCTGCTACACGATGAATTCTGCTCATTGCTTACATATAAAATTTGATAAAAACATATTTGCGGTACTTACTGCACAGCACCTACCATTGAGGCATGCCCCGAATCGTGTGAAGACACTCCTGGCTTTGAAATATGGTCACTCTAGTATCATGACTAAAGAAAAACCATGAATGCGACTTTGCAATGGAAAATGTCACCACGACAGCAGCTGGGACCGGATGGTAAAGATGCAGGGATGAGATCTACACAGCTACTTAGCTCTTGGCTTCAGGCTTAAAAAACTCAGAGTTAACAAAGGAAAATCCTTCGAATTCTGACTGGTCAATGTTCCTGATGACTTCCTGGTCGGGAGGTGTTAAGACGGGTGGATGGCGGGTGAAAAACCGGTCGAAGTTTTCAGCACTGCGTCCACACTATGAGAGGGGAAAAAAAGAACGTATGGTGGGTGGAGAAGCAAAGCAAACGGATGGGCCTGAGCACCCCCCAGCCCTGCCGAGCAGCACATGGCGGAAAGCAAAAACGGTGCGAAACGCATGAATTCTGTTAACTGCAAGCAGCGCTCGTCACGGAGAAACCCTCCGGCTGCGGCACGGCAATAGCTGCAGGAGGGATGAGATGGGAGGCAGTTCCCTGCCGGCGCATCCTGCCTGCGCGCGGGACCCTGTCCTGCCCCGGCCGCGCTCACAGCGGTGCCTCCTCGGCCCG